GCTTCCAGGAGGAAGTGTCCTCTCACATCTTGCTCTTCTCAACAGTCATACAGACACAGGATGAGGTCAATAAAAGAGCGCCCGTTAACATTTAATAAAATCCCACCGTACTGGTTTGGACTCTGCTTTCCAGTGGCTTCCAATAGAGGAATTTCACTAGGCACATGTGCTCTTTTTCAGCACTTTCCCTGCTTTGTATTGACATTGAGCTTCAGTATTTCCTCTCCTTTTTATCACCCAGCAGCCAGGTGGGCCTTGTTTAGAAAAAGGTGGCAAAGAGCAATATGAAACACAGATAGATATCCAAACAAAAGACAGTCTCTTGGGGGTTAAGCTTGTGATAACATTTCCATCTAAATGCAGATTTGATATAGCAATGGCATTGCATACCCTCTCTAGTTTACATTCATTACCACGGAGGAGGAGAGCAATGTTTTTTTTTTTACCTGGTCTACTTCACGATGTAATTTAGGCTTTTCAAGAGGGGATCTGCAATTGATTTCATTTAATTTAGTTGTGCAAATTGCAGCACCAGCCGGGAAACAAAGATAAACATTTGTCCAAATAAAGTGGACAGAAAGAGTGAAAGGAGAGAGAAGAGCGTGTGAATGAGATTGTGATTGTAAAGCTTGGTTGGCTTCATTTGTGGCACTGTCTTGCTATTGGCAACATAAGTAGCATAATGTTACCCAAATGGTGCTCATCCAGGTGGAACCTGGCAAGAAACTGGCAAGCAGATTAAACATTATCGATGCCTCTTAGCTAAAGAATAAATTTGCCTTCTTTTGTTTTCAGCAAGCTCTCTGCAAGGTGGTAGAGAAACTGCAGTTTGATCGTCTTAACTTAAGTCTGTGTGTGTGTGTGTGTGTGTGTGTGTGTGTGTGTGTGTGTGTGTGTGTGTGTGTGTGTGTGTTTGTTTGCATTTGAATAGGAGGGGCACACGCGTGAGTGTGTGGTAAACAAAGATGAGTGCCACATCGTCAAGGGGGATAAAGCAAAGAGAGTGACAGCAGGGAGTGGAATCTGATAGACTCTTATGAAAGATGTGTTCTTTGAGTGAGTTTGTGTGTGTGTGTGTGTGTGTGTGTGTGTGTGTGTGTGTGTGTGTGTGTGTGTGTGTGTGTGTGTGAGCGTGAATGTGAATGTGAATGTGTCACTATATTGGCCTTAACACACCTCCTGCTGAATCACAAAAGTTCATCTCTACTTTTTCCATCATATCCTCTTGACTCCTTTTCCACATCACATCACTCCAATTTCTCCGTTACACACACCTCCAGCTTTTTCCATTTTTTGTTTATGTATTTTCCCTCGCTCGCCTCCTTCCTACAATCCTGCACTGTGTTCTGTTGGAGTCAGTTGTGCTTGTTCATCTTTTCCGAAGCGACTGCTTTTTCCTATGTCGGTGTGAGAGAAAAGTACATTGCTGCTGCTATCAAGTAAAACAAATTCAAAAGTGAATCAATTTTCCTCTACAACTTCTCCTATCGCAGAGCACATTGCTGTGCTGCTAACCCCAAAGTGTTTTGAGACAGCCAGTTTGTCAGGGGACTCAACAATGTTGTGTAACTCACAAAATTGTCATTTTAACCTGCAGTCTCTAAAGGAGTGCCTTGGATAATGAAATGAAGAATAAGAATCCTGTGGGATCACTGTGTGAAAAAATTGCATCAAAAATGATAAATAACACACTATTACAACAAATAATGTTTATATTAGTAGGTATCAGTTGATTAGTTAACAGATACTTTGTGATGAGCTCAAAGCAATAGTTTGACATTTTGGAAAGTATGCTTATTTGCTTTCTTGCCATGAGTTAGATGTGAACATTGATGCCACTCTCACGTCTATTGGCAAATATGAAGCTACTGGCAGTTAGCTTAGCACAAAATATAGATATAAAACGTCAGGTACTAAGCTTTGCTAGTACTGTAGGTGTATATGTTACCTTCTGACAGAGCCAGGCTAGCTAATTTGCCCTGTTTCCAATTTTTATGCTAAGGTGAGCCCACCGCTGAATGTAACCTTACATTTAATGGACAGATATAACATTGTCAATCTTCCCATTCAACTCTGCTGCTTGATTTTATGACAACATATTAGAAGCAGTGGTCTTGATCAGGGCAGTCGTTGTTGGCCACTACACTGCTTTGCTTGTTTATTCCCCACCTGCCATCTCATCTCCTCTTATCCCTCAGCCTTTGAAAGCCTCATGCATTTTGTTTCACAGGTCACCTCACTCGCCGGGCTGAACTCCTTTCGAGTGCGAAACGAGAGGCCGTTTCAGAGCACAAATCCCGTTTGATGCTGCCATGCAGAGCAACACAGATCAGTTGGTGAGGGAGTTAGACAAGTAGCGCTTGTCTAAGACGATGTCACTGGGAGAAGTGGAGAAGTGGGTATTTATGTGTGTTCATGTAACTGCGGGGTGGGAAAAATGTGGTAGGAGGGCTGATGTTAAGCTATCAGGGAAGAGACACTCAGCCTCTTAGCTTGAGCAACTGCAACAGCATCAATGGCTGCAGGAATGAGCAATGACAGCTATTCACGAGTCTGCTATTTGTGTGTGCTCAAAGGCACATTAACCATCCAGTAAGGAATGATAAATGGTGGCTTCAAAGACTTGACTGTGTGTGTGTGTGTGTGTGTGTGTGTGTGTGTGTGTGTGTGTGTGTGTGTGCTGTCTGTGTGTCTGTGTGTGTGTGTGTGTGTGTGTGTGTGTGTGTGTGTTTGTTTGTGTGTGTGTGTGTGTGTGTGTGTGTGTGTGTGTGTGTGTGTGTGTGTGTGTGTGTGTGTGTGTGTGTGTGTGTGTGTGTGTGTGCGCGCATTTGATGCTCCATGAATAGCAAATGAGAGATTAGATATTTTCACTTGGGAGAGGATTCTAGGGCACACACACACACACACACACACACACACACAGCCACACACCTCATACAGTGCATCCACTTTTGGCAAGATTGCCAATCAAAGACCAGGAAACTGATTCAAAGTTGAATCTGAGTCATGAAGTGATATTTTTCAGCATGAGAAAAATCTAATCCTGAAAATAAAACAAAAACACTTTAGATATGGGCCGAAGATAAAACAAACATAAGATTTCCTGATGGTAGGTGAGTGATTGTAGAGTAGGTGAGTAGAAAGACTGAAAATGCTCATCTGAAGGCTGGCAGGTGGTCATACAGTGGGGGAGGAAGAGGAGAAAGAGAATGGCAGGGGATGGGGAGAAAAATGACAGAGGAGAGAGAAAGATTGAGAGGTTGAGCGACTCGCACAGCAGTGTGCCTGTGACCGCTGGAAAAACATTGTTCCACCGATCTGCCATTTAATTACAGACAGGAGGGGCCGCCCCTGTAGCGTGTAGCACTTTAACGTGCATCCAATCAAACAGGAGTAGAGCAGGACACACAGAAAGGGTGCTGTGGAAACTGACACTAATGAAAAGAAATCAATAGGCTCATTTTCTCCACCATTCAACCACACTGTCTGTTCCGCCCACCTAGGCAGTGCTTCTTTCTGTTTATTTTTTTGCTCTCTCTTCTCTTCGTCTTCTCTTGCTTCACACATTCTTAACAGCTTGACATTAGATAGCTATAACATACCTTCTGTCCTCATCAGATTGTATTTATAATTTCTGACCAGCGCTGTGGGAAACATGTTTGTATTATTAATAAAGGAACACTCATCAGCTGGGGCTAATGGAAATGTTATTAATTTTTCAGATATTTGGTCATAAACCAAGGTATTGGACGAAGCGGACTTTCTACCCGATGACGGAGCAACATCAAGTCAGAGAATCACTAAAATGATTAAATTTTATCCTGCCGCGGACATTAACGTCTGTACAAAATGTATTGGGAATCCATCAAATAGAAATTTCACCCAAAACCACAAGTGTCAACCTCATGGTGGGGCAAGAGGAAAAGTTAAGAAAGATTTCCAAGTCCTAAAGAATTCATGCTCTGGGGAGTATGAATGTCTGTATGTGGACTGACAGACAGACAGTCATTGCTATCCCTCGAGCCTGCTAGTGTGGCTAAAAGAGTGGCTAGCTGATTGAAAATGCATGCACTGATGCTGGGCTTTGGGGCAAATTAAATTAGACATAGTGACGCGTTTGTCAGCGTTCTGAGTAGTGAGAAGAAAGGGAATAGTGACTGATAAGGGAGCTAAAAAAGACGCAGACGAGGCTCAAGGCTTTACAGGTAAGCCTCATTCACACACAGAGCGCACTGGATAAACAGAAGCAGATAGAGCTCAGAGATGATAACCTGTATTACTGTTTTGTATGAGTGGAATTCACATTTACCTCTGCAATGTAAATGAGCCACCTCGGTCTTTTCAGGCAAGGTGACACAAGATTAGAGGGTAATAATAATGTATGAGGTGACTCTTCCAGTGTAAAATTAGTTCTACACTGGTTGGGCAAAAAGGCAACAAAGAAAAATGCAATGGAACATGCAGACTTTTGCAGAACAAAACGGCTGCTACCAGAGCTCTTCTGAAAGCAGCACACTTAATTATATATAATATATATATAATTTCTTATAATTATACTCTTCCTCTCTGTCATCAGTTGTTTTGATGAAAGTAATATTTTTATCTCTGTGGTGGTGATGCTTTAAGCTGCAAGGAGGTGGTTGATATTGATCCCATAATGCATATCCAGGTTTGATGTATGGCTTATGAAAGGACTTTTGATATCTTCCCTCCACAGTCGAGCCCTGCCTCCCACTGTTCAGGTAGAACCGTAATGGCCTGTTGGATCAATGACCAATAATCAGGGAGACACAAAGAGCTTCTGTTCTTTCCCTTTTACTCCACAACCAGGACAATCTGATGGAACAAAAGAACCTGGAAAGGCAGCATGTTTTCTTCTACAAGAAGCAATTAACTAACCTTTTTTCCAACATAATGAGAAATAACGTCCCGTGGCTTCATTTACTAGACGGCATTGATTGTCCTCTCTTCTCCTCTCCTCTCCTCTCCTCTCTTGTCAGGCTTAACCAACGGAGACACTGTGGTGAATATGAGGAAGGTGACCCATCAGACCATAAGTGAGGAGCTGTCCAAAACCGTTCTCCTCCCCTGCCTCTTCACCCTCCGCCCCAGTTCATCCCATGAGCCCCCCAGAATCAAGTGGACCAAGGTTTGGGGCCAGAGAGGCTCTGACGGCCTGCAGAAGGAACAGTCGGTCCTGGTGGCCAAAGACAATGTGGTCAAGGTACAATAAAGGCTGACTGAAATGTTTGGTGTCACATTTTTGCGAGAATACAATAAGCTCAGACGTGTTTAATTTGTTTCCCTCTCTCATTTCTTTATCCCTCTATAGGTGAAGAAGGGCTTCCAGGGTCGTGTTACCCTGCCTGGTTACAATGAGAACCGCTACAACGCCAGTCTTGCTCTGTCAGGGCTACGTTCCAGCGACTCTGGTCTGTACCGCTGTGAAGTCGTCGTGGGCATCAATGACGAGCAGGACACAGTACCCCTGGAGGTCACAGGTGAATAAAATGCACAAAAAAAATGTCGACACTTCGTAATTAAGGCAGCAATTTTGAATTTAAGTCTCAGTGTGAAATTTCACGCTAGAGCAAACCTAGCTGTAGGCTAGTCGCAGTAAACAGTAATTTATCAATCATCATTAGGATTTGGACAAATACGAGTATGATTTGTGACATTATAAATAGTTTGGAAGTCGACCTGGTCCAGTATGCGGCTTATTCAAGTGTGATGTAGAAACTTGAATCCACCAGTGCCCATACACTGAGAATGGACTTTACAGTAAAGTAGGAGACATCTTGTGTCCAGCAGGAAAACGTAAGAAATAAACCAAATTATCATATTTATAGATTCTGATTTTTAATGAGGTAGCCAGAGTAGAGGCCTTTTTATGGATTTAAATGTACAAATTTAATGTAGACGCACTTTATTGTTCTAAGCAGACTATTTGTATATGTCTTAATACATGTCTGGAGGGGCTCTTTAATTTTCTGCGTAATGTTATAAACATTTTGGTCCACATTTTGAGGAGACATGCTATTAGTAGTCAGGTAGCTAGCTGCTACATGCTAGTCTGCTTGCTTCCTAGGAGTTGTTCTTGAGAATTATTTAGTATTTTGTAACTAAATGATTAAGAAAACCTAACAATTAGCCTGTTGCCAGTTAATAAAGCTCTACGTTTGCTGTGCTAAAAACCACTTGTGATTATTTTAGCATTGTTGAAGAAGTTTAAACAAAAAACACTTTATTCCACCTGTTAATTGGGCCTTTCAACACAAGAGCTGATGGGCAATGGCTAATATTGGTTCTAAGTTAATGAAAGTTTCATCTAGCCTACTTTCTATCATTAATTATCAAGTTAGCATCCATAGTGGGATTTGTTCGAATCTGATAGCTTTGTATTGTAATATGTCACACAGAAAATAATTAACAGTGGACAGTCACACCACTAAAGCAATATTGGATTAGAGAAAGAATGAGCAAGCAATTGATGATTATTTCTGTGATTCAGTATCATCTCGTAGCAATTTTAACATTACCATCAACTGATGAGTAGTGATGTACAAAGTAATTAACACCATTTGTGTCATCCTAGACGTTATGCATGTTGTTTTTTTTACCTATACAAAGTATTGTTTCAGCAAATCAACGCTCCAGTCTTTGGTTGTGTACAGCTCCCCCATTTCTCTCAAGGGTTGCCACTATGAATAATAATGACTCTGTTTTCCATGTCAGGCTATTACAGCCATTACACCCTGAGCTGTTTACTGTCCCTGTAGAAAGTACGATGATAGGGAAAAGGTGAGAGAACTAGAACACATTAAACATCATTGACCTGGGCCACTCAGGTGCTGTTCATGCACTGAAACCCTAATGAAACCAATAAGGTAGGAACCCAGCAGCGTACGCTCTTGTCAAATAGTGTTACACCGAGAGTTTTGTATGGCTCTCCGTGGCTTAACTAAATGGGAAAACCATTTATTGCATTATCTGTATCCAGGACATGCATATTTGTAGAATTACGAGACTACCTGGAGGTAGCTCACTGTAGTAGAACCATAATTACTGTGTCAGAGTATTTTAGCTGCAGAGCTTTCATCACATTCTTTCCAGGTCACTCACTATTTTTAATAATAAGCTATTATCATAATGACCACAGGGAATCACACAATGCATTAGCCAGTATACACTATGCTGCCGCTTCCACAAATCCTTGCTAGTGTTGCTAACATCAGCTCTAAAAGCCCAGTAGCCTTATTCTTTTACCCAGACACACCATGTTACAATGGCTACATCGTGTGTCATTGAGAGTAACACACATAGCCTCCACTCCACTGCCTGCATATAGCTCAGATGTGAATATGTGCAAGCGTTTATATGTACGTGGGAACATTTTCGCGTGTGTGTCTGTACATGCCACTATGTCTTTATACAGTTCAATAAGAGTGCTATCTGGTTTTCTCAAGCAAGCGGAGTACCTCATCTTTCTCCATAAAAGCAGTATAACATTTAGTAAGCAACAACGCTGTCGCAATGCTTGGGAGACCCTGTGTCCTCCCCCTCTTGGCCAATCGATTAACACGCTATGAAAACCACTCCTTCAGAGAGAAACCAATTACGTAGCTGGCGAGGAGTAGCCGTCTCCAGGGCTTAGTCTTAATTGGCAGTCATGCTACATGGCAGACCACAGCCGTCCTCACACTAATTCTACTGAGTGCTTAACGTATTAATTAGCAGGTATTGATACTGTTCAGCTATATCAATATCATATTAATCCACATTGCTCTTCTCATAGGCCCATTTGTGTGTGTCCAAGCCCTAACTGAGATGTCCTTCCGCTCTAGCCATCTCTTTCTTAATTTCTCCCCTGCTGCCTCTGTCTTACTCACTTCTTGTTTTGTCTCCATTTTGATTTGTGTCAGGACATATTGACTGGTCAATTGGCTGTGTCTCAGCAATTAGAACACTGTGCCATTAATTGTGTGTGTCAGCCCTTGTCTTTGGTGAGATATGGCTGTCCACCATTAACTGGTCCGAGGACAATGGGTAGTATATCAGCACTGGGCATTGCAAACTTAAACAGTTTATATACTGTTATTATTATCGTTATATTTATACTTTTGTACGCAAAAAGTGAGGGGAATTAAAATTTCAGTTCAACTTTAAACAAAGTAAATGTGTACTGTACAGTATACGTTGTAATGCAGTGTAGTGTACTAAACAGTGCTGCCAAGGGACACCAACTGCTCAACAGTGCTACAATGAGGGCATCATACATAAAGCATGTGGTCTACCCACAACTGGTGCCTTCCTGTTCCACCCCCTGGAGACGGTGTAGGGATGTGTGAGGAAGCAGAGGGTAAAAATAGAGGCATGAGGTATTGGGCATTCAACCCTCATGTGAAATAGGACTGGGTTTCCCGTAGTGAGAGGAAACCCATTTGTCTCTCTAGTGTATGTGTTAGCCAGCGAGCTAGCATCTCTGTTTGGACAAGATCCCACAGCCTCAAAGGAGAATGGATGGAAACTGAGAAATTATGAGAAGAAATGGAGCAAAAAAGGGACAATTTCTGCTCCACATATTTGTGAAGAGGAGAATAAGACCAATATGACAGAATGGCTTGATGGACTGCTGGGATCATGGGAACTGTGTGTGTGTGTGTGTGTGTGTGTGTGTGTGTGTGTGTGTGTGTGTGTGTGTGTGTGTGTGTGTGTCAGACACACAAACACACATGGCCCTGCATGCTTGCTTTCTTCGCCCATAGCCTGGAGTGCTAATGCTCATATTGCCACGCAGGCCTCCATCTCGCAGGAATCTCTGTCACTCTTGCAGACAAAGCCAGGGGAAGATAAAGGAGCCGTGTTAGTAGCCAGACGCCCACTGGCTTTCATGTCGCTGGATGCTCCTCAGGGGTGCAGCGCTCCGTGACTGGCAGGCAGAGGTGGGAGGTGAGGGAACGCTAGATGGACACTTCTGAGGCAATTCCTTTCCCATTTAAGTGGAGTATATGCTCTTCTCACAGCTAAGGGAATTGTGTCTCACTTTATTCCCAGTTGATTTTTTGTTTTTTGCTTCTTCCAATTGTTATAACCAGATTTTTTTTTGTATTCTGTGGCTCAATACATGCATCTCTATGTCTGCTTTCTTTGTCTTTCCATCATGATTGCGACAGCAGGCGTCGTGCAGCAGACATTGTGTGTGTACTGCTAAAGAAGTAAAGTAAACACCATCACTGTTTGTCACACACTGTATCCAAGGGTCAACATCTCTTTTCTCTAATGATAAGCCGACTGACTGCCTGATGCAAATGAGGCTCACGTATGCAGGTAGCTGAACCTGAATGCGGTACAGATGGAACAATGTCAGTACATGATGAGGATGTCTAGAGGGCTTTGTGTTTATGTATCCGTGAGCATGTACATGCTCCTGTTTTAATGGTTCAAGGTTGCAGGTCATAAATTGATGCCATTAGTTTCTGGAGTATTTGCTATCACATGCTGTATCTCTTTGCTCCAGGCGTGGTATTTCACTACCGGGCTCCCCACGACCGTTATGCCCTGTCCTTCGCTGACGCCAAGAGGGTGTGTGTGGAGAACTCAGCGGCCATTGCAACGCCAGGCCAGCTGCAGGCCACCTTCGCCGATGGGTATGACAACTGTGATGCTGGCTGGCTGTCTGACCTGACAGTACGGTGAGGTTTTCAACTTCGCATACTTACAGTATCAAGTTCAAAGCTGTGGTTTGTTTCTGCTGGAATAACTCTCAAGAGGACACACTCTACTGTCACTATGGTTACTACTGTGATACAGAGAAGTGTCTTTGATACTGCCAGCGTGTTTATAGCCAAGTATTGAATGTATACAGAAGAAAATAAATGAGAAAAGAAACAGTGAAGAAGAAGACTAATTAGCCTTCTGGTTAGAGTTGGCATGTCGACAAATAAAACACAGCTTCCCATGCGTTATGGGAGTTCTGAACGCAATTATGAGCTCCTCTTTGAATGATGAAAGCACTTCCTGTAAAGTATGCAGCACCAGCCACTGGACAAAGCCTCAGACATGTGTCTGTCCTGTAGCCATCCTCTGGGATTTAAGTAGAAATTAGGTGGCCTGTACCATATTAAAATGCTTTGAGATTATTTCTTTGATTTAATGAGGGCTCAGAAGCCAACAAAATGTTCCCTCATCCATAGCTCCTGATTGTCACATACATTGTAGCTGCATTTGAATATCCTGTGCTAGACAGTAATTAGCAGTCTTGGAGTTAAAGTAACAAGGTCTGCTGACAGCTCTTGTTTGTTGGACCAGGTTGCTATTTTAAAATCTCCATCAGGCAGTTGTTTCAGCATAACATTTTTGATAATTTGCCACATGATCAAACGCAACTAAAAATATGACTAAAAAAAGAAAAGTTGATGAACTATGTAGAAGTATGAAGTATGGCAGCATGAAAGTCATTTTGATCTTTTTGGTGTTTTTATAAACACAAAACTGTGCAACATAATTGGACCTAATTGCTTGTTTGCGCACTGAAAAGGCAGTTAACTACAACTGCCCCCTCGGAGCTGTCTGTCAGGCTGCTGCGTGTGCTTCAGCTTGCCACCTTCCATAAAGTCTCTCTTAATTTTACCAGTCAGAGCCCGTCTCTTGACAGTGTTCTCCATATCTACATTTTAATTTCAAATCGCTGTTGCTCCAGTAGACAAGCAGATTGACTGTTGTCTTCCTGACAGTTTTTCACAACCTTCCTGCGGCGCAGCTTACTTCTTTCTCTCCTTCCGTCCTACACTCCTGTTGTTTTCACTCGGGAGCTATCTAATTGGTCCAGATCCAGTAGGCTCCGACTGCACATCAGCCAGGAGGAAAATGTCCAATTAATACAGACATCAGCCGTCGCTTCATCAGCCACCAAGCAGAAATGAAGAGGCTGAGGCCGAGGACACTACAAGACTTAGTTCTCTTGTTATACTCTGATGAAAACAGTTTGCTATTTAAGAAAAGGGCTGCAGGTTTATGGTTATATGCAGGCATATGTGTCTTCTTCATTGGTGTTTGTGCGTTTGTGTTTATGTCTTTTTTCAAGTACTTCATAAATCCCTATATACCCAGTGTAATCTTTTAATCAGCCTCTTTGCCTGTGCCCTGGTGCTGCTGGAATCAATGTTCTTGTGGAATAATTGCTCAGTTGGAGCCTGAATATAGATCGCCGTTTTCTCAGCCCCAAAGGCATGCCAAGCCACTGAAGGAATTCCTGATTCTGTTAACCTCTCCTTGACTTCCTATTTCTACACACCCTCTTTCTCTAAAGCTGTAACATTACTGGAATTCTTGTATTGCCAGAGCATTAAATACATTTCAAAACAATTTTAGGTAAAATGGTTGGGTAATTATTCTGTAAAACTCACACTGAGGGCAGAATAATTAAAATAAGCAAGATATTGTATCTATTGAATTGCTTTCCAATTGTTATCCTGAGGTTGTTTTGACGTGCAATGCAACGTGAGTTATTGTAAACCTTGCTTTGGCATTCCAGCTAGTTTCAGCAGGGATATTTATGTGTTTATTTTTCCTTATTCTTTGGGTAATATATTTGGGTAATCTCTGGAAGGAGGATATACTTAAACTCATTGTATTCAGGGCAGGAGATGATGAAAGTGTAGTGCAGTTTTCATCTTATTCTGTATGCATGTGAACGCAGACTCATCCCCAGGGAGCCAAGTTTGTCTGTGGCTGCCGTTTTCATAGCCAGGCTATATTAATCTCCCTATCTCACTCCCTCTGTCTCTGTCCCTGTCTCTTGGTTTTCTTTACAGGTATCCCATCCAGTCGCCTCGGCCTGGTTGCTATGGAGATCGCGAGGACTCACCTGGAGTCCGTAACTACGGCAATAGGTCCCCTGATGAGCTGTTTGATGTCTACTGCTTTGCTAAGCAGCTTCAAGGTAGGAGTCAGGAGCCTCGACCATAAATTTGGGTTTAGTCATGCATGGGTTCACTAAGCCGTGGGTGTGCAGCGCAAGAACGCTGTGACCAAGACTTAATACTCTGTTAGCACAGAAAGGAAGAGGGTAGTAGGAGAGGGAGGGGAGGAGAGCTTGTGGAAGTGAGAGGGAGAAAGAGAGACAATACCTCCTTCAGGCAAAAGATAAGTGGGTCAGTAGTGTTATCCTAAAACTTTACTTTTTGATTTACAATGCCACAGGCGAAGGTGGAAAAGACCTACAACAGGTGGACAAAATTTCTTATCTGATTCATTCACTTTGGCTAACCCCTCCCCTGAACAGCAAATGTCCAGTCATAGATCAGCAACCGTAATTAGACATGGGAGGCTTGTTAAGCTTTGGATTTCTACATGCTAAAGAGGTGTGCATGGGGCTGTATTTTGAGCAATAGTCTGTATATAAAGAGCTCAGCCAAAAACAAAAGAGCAAACGTTAGCATGTCCAGCTTACTAGCTTCCTACTTACAGTTGTAACCTAACTGAGTGTTACTTTGGGGTAGCATGTCATATTATATTAAGACCAACGTGTCTTGAGATGAGGATGCAGACTTTTTACCTGGTGCAAGCAGCTTTAATTGCAGTCTTTTTGCATGTATGTGATCATACAGTATGTAGATGCATGTATGTATATTTAAGACCCTTTTACCAAGCTCTCCTTTTAAAAAGAGTCAGCTGGAAGGATAACCAAGTCAGCTGGAGACAGACCAGCTCAACCAACTCTTAGAGTTAACGTTAGTTGAGTAGCAAGCCACAGCTGATCAAATCAGCCAGCAACAAATGACATATCAGCCATCACAATCGAGGGATGTCAGCAAGAAAGGAGAGGCCTGCTGTTGCTTACATCTCTGTAAAATATAAAACCTACTGTTTAAAAACTTCCCAAGAATTTTGAGTGGTAAATCTACCACCGCTGTCCTTGTAAACTGCATATGCACTGTGCTAGAGGGGAAAGCTTGACAGGCATAGCAACAGTAACTAAGGTGGTGGGGCTTGGCGAACAGTTGATGTGCTACTGGGCACAGCAATATGAAAGGGAGATCCATCAAAGCTCCTCTAAATCTAAACAGTTTTGAAGCTTAATGGGAGTTTATGGATTTATACCTACTTCCAGTTAAGGGAGATGGAAATCTATATTTAATTTAATCAATGTGCACATAACTGGAGGTTATGTGACTGAAGTTTCTGGTTGCCTATATACGTTCCCTATATATGTTTAGATTCTTACATAGGCAGTCAAGTCCACTCATCTCACCCCCCCTCCTAAACGGCAAAAACACTGCACATATTCTACATTCACATTATAATCAAGTCGATATTATTTATTTTCAAGTTGACAGACTTGAAATATCATTAGTTGTTTGTAGTACATTGTTCAGTTCTTTGCATATGTTTGCACAGCAGGTTCTTTAATACCAACCAGACACACTACAGGGTTTGGTTTATCTGGGTCACTTGTTATGAGGTGGTACGACTACAACTGTTATTAAGCATGATACTAGTACTATTTACCAGAGCTGTTACAATATGAACGAGACTGAGATCCTGAGCAGAGAATCTCACATGACCACCTGTAGACTGTATTTATTTGTGACTTTACAGTATAATTTTGTGAAATTAACAACCTGATTGAAACAATCAGCAGATAATTATCTTCTAATCAAACTAAAAATACTAGTTGATAAACACAGTAGCTTGTGTTTTATCTCTTATTTTGTGAAAAAATAAAAAAACTAGAAGCTTCCTCAACAAACTCTGTTGTTCAATACACAGCCATGTACCGTAGAAGACCTTTCAGTATGGTTCGGTTTACAGTCTTTCACCTCGTCATTAATAGTTTTAATAGAATTAAATGTGTTTAATTGGATTTTTTCCGCTCTGTCATACTTTATTTAATTCATTATTTTCATCATAAATCAGTGTTAAAAAGCAACACTTCACCATCCTTCCAATACATATTTCATCATCTTCTGGAATTTCTTCTCACACATCATTCCTCACATAATCCCATTCTGCCTCTTTTCTTCTTTCATTTTGTCCGCATCTTCACCCTTTACCCTTCACCTCCCTGTCTCAGTTCAATAAATCAGCTCCAACATTCTTTACTCTTGGCATAAATCTCCTGGATTCTCATATCCTACTTGTTCATCTGTTCTCCGCTCCTCATTCTCACTGTCCACTCCTCTCATATTTTTTTCATCACACACTGAACTGCCAGTGGATTTTCTGATCATATAATTTTATTTGTGCTGCACAGACACAGTGGTCCTCTTGAGCTCTCTCTGTCTTTCTTGCTAAAACCCCATTTTTGCATCACTGCTGTATTTTGTCCATGCCAACCCCACCCCACCTTTCTTCAGCTTCTCCTTTCTAATTCTCCTTCAGTCACAGTCTGTGTAATAGTCTCTCTCTTAGATGCCTCTTTGCAACTGCTTTGAATTCAAAGAATTGTCTTTATATAGTCTGTTCTTTGAATCACTGATGTTTCTTATTTTTGTGCAAAAAATAAAGTGCATTCTTATGCAAGGCAAGTAAAACTTGTCTTTCATCACACTACTACTTCAAGTCTCCACCTCGTATTGCTTTGACAAAGTTGACAAAGGAGAAGAAGGGAATGGCTAGAACTTATTGCCTTTTAAGTAAAATACTGACAGACTCATGCGTGCACACACAACAAAAAACAGACACAGACTCCTCAAATGTATCTACATCCCTTTGTACAACCCAGAAAAAACTCTTTCAAAAATCTGCAATTCTAAACTAACTGAAGAAATACAATCTTAGTCGGAGGGTTAAAAATGCCTTCAGGCTCTCCACCACGATTTAACACCCTCAACTGAACTCCATGTCTCCCTCCTCCTCCTTCTCCTCCCAGGTGAAGTGTTCCACTCTGCAGTGCCGGAGAAGTTGAGCCTGGCTACAGCCTCCACCCACTGCCATTCCCTGGGAGCGCAGCTGGCCACCGTTGGTCAACTCTACCTCGCCTGGCAGGCCGGCCTGGACCAGTGTGACCCCGGCTGGCTAGCTGATGGCAGCGTCCGCTACCCTATCAACGTCCCGCGCAAAAACTGCGGTGGAGACGAGCCCGGAGTGCGGACAGTGTACAACAACCCCAACCGTACTGGCTTTCCTGACACCACAGCCCTGTTCGACGCCTACTGCTACGGAGGTACTGATAAATGTGATGCACCATCAGGGTGGTAATTGCTATGGTAACAAGGGGGGTTGGGTCTGGGGACTTGCTTTCCATTCTGGTTATTAATTAGTGCGAGATGTTTGTGTCACACATGAAGTAGTTGCAAAGAGATTGTGTGACATTTGTGTCCCCCCCCCCGGTGGATTTGCGAGCTTGTATGCTGTGTGTAGTGAAGCCTGAGAGAGAGAGAGAGAGAGAGAGAGAGAGAGAGAGAGGGGGGAAAGTGAGGTAGAAAGTGAGAGAGCTAGAAAGATCGAGGGCATGAATAAGACCAACTGGGGTTTGCAGTGACTCTGTGTCTGACCTTGTCTTTTATCATGTGCCAACTGAGACTAGAATAAGTTAGTTTCATCTTCACTTTGGACTGACTTCATACCACATTCTGTTCACTGAAATTGTGTATTTCACAATTTACCACACCTATGATTCTGCATCCAGAGCTTATGTTTGTTTTTCTGCCTTCCATTGATTGTAACAGACTGCAGACTGATATTTGACAGCTCTATTGCCACAGATAAGGACAAAAAGAATGACATTTTCATTTTTCACAGTGTCAGTTTATGGAATTTTTGTTGAAGCAAAACATCTGCATAACCCAATCATTTTAAGTAAACAAGAACAGCATGAGAGCAGAGCAGCAGTGCATTTGTCAAAATAAAACAGCTGATAGATGAACCTCTTCATTGCACCAACAGTTGTATGCACATTTACATTAATATTTAAAACAAATGATGTCTTTCACATAGTTTAAAGTAGATACAAATGGTAATATGTTTTGTTTAATGGCATAAATTTGGTTGATGTAAATAATATTGCTGATTCAATCTCATTATTACGGCATGAACGCAATATATGCACGTTTATTCATTTAAAAATAATTGGATTTTGTAGTCGGAAAATCCGAGCCATGTTTTTATCAATCCAACACTGCAGCATGTTCTGAATTCATGTTCAGGTTTATTGCAATAGGAGGATAGAGGTAAAGTGAGGTTTACTGCTGTGCTGTGCAGCAGCAGATTAAAGCAGGTCAAATGAAAAAAACGCTGCTGTTTCTTTGCCTGAAATGTGGCTGTTGTGTGTTGCAGCCCACCAGCCAGCGGGGGTCCAGGCTGCGGAGGCACAGGCTTTGTATCAGACCGCCAACCCAGCACCGGAGGCCATCTCCTCAGTAACTGAAGCTCAGCATAGTGCCCCTTTTTCCAAGACTTCCACCTGGACTGGCCTGGTTGACTTGGACAATGCTGGAGTCCACTCTATTGCTGGAATCAACAACTCCTCTGAGATCTCTGAAGAGCATGTCATCATCCATTTGAGGCCAGAGGAAGGCTGGGATGAAAAACAGGATGGACCCAGAACCAGCCAACCCAGTCAGGAGGAATCTGATGACCCAAAGAGCAGCAACAGCTCTGGCCTTTCTGACCCCGGGAACCTTGAGAGCCATGGGGGTTCTGCTCATGAAGAAGAAGATGGTGGTTATTTTGAATCATCTGACAACCCAACATTATCCTCTATAGATTCTTCCACTCCCCAGCCTCAGACTAGTAATGGTGTGTTGGCTGAGTTTGTTAACACTCTGATGAGGCCCTTCAGGTACTGGACCGGAGGTGAGGAGGTGGAGGGGACAGAAAAGGGACCTTCAGTGCTTAAGGAAAAGGCAGGACAGAACCAAACACAGGCAGAAGCATCCAGTAGAAACCTGAGTATACCAAAACCCAGTGGAAACAAGGGCAGCATGGACAACGCCATCATGGAGCACAGGAGTGATAGTTTTTCCTTCAAGGCTCCTGCCAGTGGACGACAGAGTCCAGAGGAAGGTCTGTCTGAGCGGGAGAAAGAGGTGATGCCACTGATTCGATTAGTGCCTCCAGTCCAACACATAGGGCAAAGTGACACCGTGACACAGCCAGGAGAACGAGCCTCCAGCCCTCCATCCACTGTTAATGGTACGAGCTTCACCTTTGACCTTTAAAACTTATAACTGAGTGTGAAATTGAAACAGAAATTAGGGTAAATTGAAACAGTTCTATGTCAAACAGAGCGTGGTGCATTTAAATGTTGCTGGTAAATATAGAATGTGTTTATGTCATGCTTTTCAAATAGTCTCTGTCTCTCTATTCCACTCTCTCTTTTTTTCCCTCGAGTATGCTATAATATATTCCTCCACAGGGCAATTTGAAGTATTGCTGTAGATTTAATTAAACAGTAATTGCAAACAAACAAAAAGGGCATACCACGTACAGTAATGCAACATGTTGCAGTGAAGACTGTTCTGCCTTCATTCTCATATTTATTGACTTTGCTGTGTTTACAGTACAGGCTGTCAGGAAGAGTACAAGCTAAGCTTGAATTTTAATCTACTTTGATGCTATAAAAGGTTTGCTCTGATATGTATTTTTTGTTTAGAACAAAGCAGACCTGCATCACAAATTACAGCTTATTTTTAGGAGTCAAAGATGTGTTAGGCTTAAAAATTGTCTGGTATTAGTCATGGAGAATAAATTAAACAGATGAGAAAAACAAAGGAACCTGAGCAGACAAGGATAAAACTTTAAGAAGTCTGTGTTTAGACACAAAGAGAGAAATTATCTGGGGAGTATGAGATGGTCTGACAAATGCTGGGATCAATTGCTAGTATGTACTGTGTGTGTGTGTGTGTGTGTGTGTGTGTGTGTGTGTGTATATGTTTGTTTGTTTGTTTGTTTGTTTGTGTTTGTGTGTGTGTGTGTGTGTGTGTGTGTGCGTGTGCGTGTGCGTGCGTGTGTGCCTTGTCAGTCAGGTAAGATCCACAGTGGAGTGAGTTAACCTCAGCAATGAAACCGAACAACACACCAAAAAGGATAGAAAGGGTCACCTGTTCACCGTTTTCAGTTCAATTCTTTTTGAAAGCACTGTGGCACCAAACTTAAAATCACTTCCTAACTTCCTGTACTTTATAACAGAAGGGGTGAAGGTAGACTAAAAATTAGAGGAACACGACTGGAAGATTTCTGGATCAATAACTACCAGAGCAAGGCCCCTTCAGTAAAGCCTAAACTGAAGCTCAGGAACTGATCATTGGGCGGAAGTAGAGAAATGTACCGGATAGAAGCCGAAAAGAAAGTGTAGCTCAGCCTTAGGTGGAAGAAGGCAGCTTTTCCTTTAATGGCCACTACAAATAACACATCCTTGGCATCAGCTAAAGGGGAGGATACAAAGAAAGACTTAAGACTCCCACAGACAACCAGAAGAATGATTCAATAAAGGTGATAGGCTTTTCTCACCTAGCAATTGCCGGCTTTATTAATATAAATACTCACCGCTGTGCTACCTGAAATCCGATGCCAACCCCCAAGGTATTAATGAAAATCCAAGCTTTAGTCCGCATGCATTATTCACAGCCGTATCCAATTAACGTGGAGGTTGGGCTGCACTGCCGTCTGCTCTCACCTCCATCTGTGTCTCTGCCAATTAGGCCCTGGCTCTCTGAAGGTAGGCGGTAATGATCACTACAGCGAGGATAAGGAACACAAGCGGGGGGATGAGTAGAGCGAGACAGAGGGAAGAAAGGGGAAGAAAGGGGAAGAAAGGGGAAGAGAGGTGAGGAATAGTTGTTTTTTTTCTTTAATGTTGCCGTGATGGAAAGCTGCCCAACTGATGTCTCTTCTTAAACTAGCATCAGTGAGCTGAATTAACTCTGTTATTGCACACCGCAGGCTATCCCTTGGATCTCAACACTTCTTAGTAACTGATGGTGCCATGTTGCCTCTTTGATTGAGGGGGATGCAAAGCTTTACTCGGTAGACAGTACATCCGCAAGAACGATAGGATTCAAGTATTGAATCAAATTATTTAAAATTTGAAAGAAATCTCAGAATGTAGAGCGTTAACTTCAATTATTTATTTATTTTCCAATGCAAATCAAAATATTTTGAACATTTTATCGAATTCATTATTTTTTTGTTAAGCTCCCAGTGGAGCAATCCAGCCTCCAATACAGTCATGCAGAATTTGAATAAGCTCTACGTTCAAGCTCCAACTGTCTGTCAAGGAAATGCATGTCTGCTTCACATCGGCCTCGTCGCCGCACAGACTGAATTTCTGTGATAGAAGACAGTAGGGTCTGTGCGCTGACACTCCTGACACGATTCACATGGCCATCCAATAACTTTTCCTCAGTCTCTGTTATTAGATGCCATATCTGCAGATGGGCAGAGGTGGCATTGGTACCAACTCTCTCTCTCTCTCTCTCTCTCTCTCTCTCACACTCTCTCTCTCTCTGTCTCTCATTGTCAGCCTCCGTTCTCACAATTTAATATCATGTCTGCCTGACCCGAGGGATTCTCTCAGCCCGTTTACTCCAGTAAAGTGGAGTCAACACAGCAGAACCACTCACGGTGGAAGCACACAATTACCGTCTGAACGGGGGTTTATTTGCAGCATTTCAGTTTCGAGTTGTGGCTTTTCCACAAACAGATTTACAGTGTCAGACCTGAACCTTCAGCGTGCTCTAAACAGCAACAAGAAATCATCCAAACCTATGTCTAATTGTCTCATTTTATTTATTACATGGGTCATTACATAGATGCTCAAACCAGATTAATGTTTTTAATTATTCTCACTTTCATCAGTGTGTGTAGTAAAGGTATGTAATTAGCTATTTGGATTATTAATAGGACAATTACGCCGGTCTACATGGCTCTTATGGAAATGAACCTCAGGCTCATAAACCTCACTTGGGTATAAGGCAACAGCGGACCTCCTGAATAATTTACATACATTTTAATATTTTATGCATGGACATATTTGTGTATGTTTTCCCCCTCGCAGTAATTTGTTGTGCCGGGTTGTGTTGCACACCCCCTGCTGTATTGCTATACTTTTCAGACATGTTAACTGAACTGAGGACAGGCAAACCGAGCTGAGCGATGATGGTAGCAACATTAGCCGGGCCGCTCAGTAACACGACTGCAACCACCGCCATAAAAAAAAAAAAAAACACACACACACACACACACACACACACACCAGCCGTGAGTCACACATGCAGACAGAATAAATTATTAATGGTGTAGACAGTGTCTGGTTTAAAGCCGTAAGCTGATAAGGTACAGTGGACCACTTCATCTAAATAAACAGGTCTAGATGGAGCTTGTTGTGGACCAAGTCATTTGCTTATCATGTTGCAAGTGCTCCTGCACTTTTCCACTTGGCTTCTCTCACCACAGGCAAGTGTGTCCCTGCAGGAGGTTGTTTGGGGTAAAAGAAGCCACGGGGAATAAGAAAACAGGGACAGAGAAGAGAAGTGTGAAATTACTTTGAATACATCCTTCCATCCTTTTGGTGCATTTGTGTCTCTGTGTGCATGTGTGTTTATGGGTTTTCACAAGCTATGGCTCCCATCTTTGTCTACAAACTCCAGCAACTTTAGTAGCCATACTGATAAGCTCCACTGGCGAGGAAAGAAGCACACTTTCTACACAGAGTTAAGTCAAGTAAGTTTACAATCCAAAATAGAAATTGGTTTGTTTGGGGACAAAAAAATAAATAGATAAATCTACACATGACACAAACACATACCAGTGAACATGCATCGGGCAGTGCTCACACTGCTGATCCTAGCACGCTCATGTTTTCATTAAAATCTTGAAACTGTGCTCCCTGTAAGAGTTATACGGGGCTCATGTAATCCAGGCTTGAGTTTTAATTGCTAATTACACATCCATAAAATTAAATCCACCCCCACCCTCCCCACCCCCATAATGGAATCATATTAATTAGTCTATTCTGTCTCTTTATTCCCTTTAGAATTCACTGCATCAGCTCCCAACGCGAGATCACCGCCCATTGAACGTGTCAGCATATCCGGTCCTCAGGGTCCCAGAGGAGGCTCGGCCTTTGCTCCCGCACCCAGCAGCCACTTTCGGTGGGCCATTAAGTCCATGCGTGGCTCCAAACTAGGCCCCCCTGGAAATGTGGCCTACGTGGGTAAACGTCCCACATGGGAGCCTATGGAAGCCAAAGCGGGGCCACTCGAAGTGATGACCCTGCCTACCTCCCTTCGACAGGACAACCCAGAAAACTACTCAGGCCAGGGAAGGGACCAGGACGGAGAAGAGGCTAACACACCATCAGCTGCCAGATCTGCATCAGGGGAGGAGAGGGAGATAGAGGGGAGCGCTGAAGGGAGCAACTTTCCTGGTGGGTTTGGATTGAAAGCCAGCAACGTGGACAGTAGTGGTGTCAAACTGAGTCCTGAAACAGAATCTTCACTCAGCCAAAGCCAGACTGAGCTTGTGACTGTGGCAGAGCACACCACTCTGTCCCAGTGGCAGCTAGTGGACCAGCCCACCACCCCACCTCAGGGCTCCCAGGAACCAGACACAGCAGAGGAGGCCAGGGGAGAGATCCTTTATGTCCGCCGGCCTACTGAAAACCTCTCCTCTGCTTCTTCACGAAGAGGAGAGGGTAGTTCAAATTCAGATTCCACTCCAGTTTTTAGGAAGCACAGCAAAGGCACAAGCAGCAAGGAGGTGGTGACTTTCACACCTGAAACCCTAATGGAGGTACTGACAACCTCTGAGGTGACCACAGTGGAGCTACTGACAACCAGAGACACACAGAGGACGGATCCTACCACCGCAGCAACCAGCACAGAAAAGACCTCAAACAGCGCCACCACTGAGGAGCCGTCTATCTCTATATCATGGGTTCAGGAAGAGAGGGAGAAAACAGCAGGCACATCCGACCTGCAGGGCCACCTCTCAGCTACTCCTGCACCCAGTGAGGGATCTCAAACGACTACGGGTGTCATTCAGTTGACTACTTTCGCGTCAGGCTCCAACATTGGCGCCACAGAAATGGAATCCAGATCTGCAGTGTCTGAGTCTTTTGTGGTTGGAAGTCGGTGGACACCTTTCAAAGGCATGAGCCCAAAGTCAGAGGAACACAAAGCCTCAGTGACGACAGACAAAGACAACAAAGACAACAAAGACACAAACAACCCTTTCGGGATTCTCGTGCCCAACTGGGCCTTTGGGTTCATCCCATCAGGTACGTAAGCTCCCTGGTGTTCCTGATGAATGAACTTCACTGTCATTATTATCTTCATAATTATGAGTGATTATCTAATCAGTAGCAATTTATTTAATTATGTATGCAGCTCAGTAAGAGCCAGACACATCAGTCACATCATCGTTGTCCTGAGGTGACATACAGTACAGTAACAGCAGTATGTTAACACTGCTGCATGCCCTCCACCTGAGTTCACCGCCTCTGCAAACCACCTCAAATGTACACTTTTATTTCCTTACTGTGTCTGTCTCTTGTTGTTTCATTCTACATCTCCAGTCTCTCTCCTACTTTGACATACATCATGCATTCTTAATCCAGACTTGTTCTTTCTTTTTTGCCTTCGCATCCTCTTCCTTTCTTCTCCCTTCCTCCCACGTTGGTGTAGAGAGACAGCTCCAGACAGTGAGGCAGTGCATTGAGGTGAGACCAGCTAGGTCTTAGTGAAGTAATTAGAGGGTCAGAGTGAGTGCAATTAGGTGAACTGGGGAGAGGCAGAGATCCTAGTCCCCAACAAATCAATGTAGACACAAACTACAAGATGGGACTTGTAATTGACTGCGGTCTCTTCTCCTTTCTCATTTTCAAGTTTGTCCATGTTCACTCCGCTCGGCTCAACTTTCCTCTCTCACACTCCATCTCTGAACTTGTCGTTCACAATAATAGCAGTGTCTGTGCTGTTTGTCTCAGCATGCTCGCATTGATTTCTTTTGATAGTTAATGGACCTGCTACTGTGGCAGAAAACCACAGAGTAGATGAACATAACAAACGCTGAATACTTAGGGCCACTCGTCTCTTCCTTGTCTAAATGTGTAATCTTAACAGGCAAAATGTGTTTACTTAATGTTCATGTTGCATCTGTAGAGATAGATCCGCAATATTTGTTGTAAGTTTCTGCTTAACTAATGCCAGTCATTCATCCTCAGCTCAGTGCATCTGGTATTTTCGACATTTTTTAAATCATGATGCAGATCTTTAGTCCCCCTAAAAAGAAAAGTTAAGTGCGTTTCTAAAAATGTTCTTCTTAAGTCACCACATGGATGGGTCAGAGCTGGTAGGAATTCAGTAGCTGCATTTACATGAAACCTTTTTTGCCACTAATAATAAGAATAACAGCCTATTCAGAACACATGCACCCTATGTTAACACCTCAGTCATTCAGACAGAAATTTGATTAGGCTGGAAGAAGTGACATACATTTTTCAATGTGTTTGACAGATGGAAATTTGTCATGTACTGTGAAATTACTTCCAATTACAACATGTTTTTTTTAAATAGCTGCACCCACTTGATTTACGTCAAAGATCTTCTCCTGGTAAAGGATCATAACTTGATTGTTTGGTCATTTACAAGCGTTTTCTACCAATACTGACTGTTGTCTTAATAGTATGTCTTTCCCGGGGGAGCCATCTTTTGGTCAAGTGATTTCTGGTTTACAGGAGATTGAGAAGTGGGGGACTTTCCTTATTCCTTTTAATAACAGCAGGAGGCGGATATTCTGATAAAACTGTGGTTTCAGGAGAATGTGCAGCAGAAAACCAATAACAGTGCAAAGGCTCAACACAGGTCCATCTTGTTTGCTTGGGGTAGAGTGCTGTATTGCATGCTTACAGTGGAGTGTGAGCATAAAACTTTTTATTTAGTGAACACGTAATTCAGATTTCAGTCAGAAAATCAAATTCTTGACTTTTGTAATTGCATTTCAAGGACACTTGATTGAATAGTAGTCTGTTTATTGCATGAGGAAATGAAAAAAAGAGTACAGGAGTACAAGAGCACTTTTTTGTCTTTATCAGTTTTTCTGATACAGTGACATTTGAATGGACTGAGTGGCCCTGCTCTTGTTGAGTGATTAGAAGCATGAGACCCCTCCCTCCGAGTGACCTTTTGTAGTTGTCAGTTATAGTACAGAGAAAATTACGGCAATGGTTGTCTGCCTGTTAAAGCAGTGAGATAGAGACAGAGAGGAGGGAAAGGGCAGAAGGATGGACAGCTCTAGGAGAGAAGAATGGGGGAAGAAAAGGAGAGGACGAGAGGGGTGAGTGTGTCCTCTATGATGCTGTAGGTGGGAGTACATAAACCGCTTTAATCAATGATCAGAGACTACACTAACTCAGTCCCGTGGGCTTCCAGAGAGCGCATTGTTCCATCTCATCTTTTTTTTTTCTTCCCCCATTCCTACTTTCCTTCTTTTTTTCTGTACATTTCTTTACTTCCTTCCCATCTTCATTCTTTGTTTGTTATCAGAACAGTCTCAGCTGCTCTGTGTCCTATTTGGCCATATATCAGAGTGATAAGACGCTGGTTTAATGCCACATCCAGCTTTCCAATTCCCAATCGCTCTGGCCTCCAGCTAAACCCACACAGATGGGTGGACATACACACACATAAAAACTAAATATATGTGAAGAAGCACCAGTATGCCAAGCTTTCTCAGGAGTAAACCTCAGGATAATCCATCCCACATGTCGCACCATCACATACAAACACACACACAAACACACAAAACTGAATATGTCTTAATCCTTCCTTGAGAACACTGTGAGAAAGTAAACACGTTGCATTTTATTCCTTTTTTCAATTACTCATATCTTCATTTCCATATTGTATAATCCTAAAGACAGCATTTATGGAAGTTTGTAACGCCACAAAAAAGTTACAAATGTGTTTCTAGTCCCGAAAAGCATGGAAATTTACTGAATGGTTGAAAGGCCTGGCATCCGGCCGTTTGGGGTGACGAAGCAAGTCGGGCGGATACAGTAATGCCAGGCTGTCTGTCCAGCCTTTAAATTACCAATGCCAGTCTGATACTCTGGCAAACAGGGAATGGGATGCCTCTGAGTTATAGCCATCTTGACTAAAGCCTTGTCCTAGGCTCAAGATGGATCAGACCTCTGGCAGCATCAATAACACGGCAGGCAGCCCTCAACCAAATTAGAGTGTTAAATTTGGAGGAGAAGAGCCAGTAGGGTGAAGTGTGTGTGTGCATTTGGGGATGGAGGGGGAATGAAGGAGATAAATGGAGACAGGGACAGGCTGGGGTGGCATATTATCAGTATGGGTCTGTGGATAGATGTTCAGTTTGTCTGCTGGCTGTTGGAGTCCTTGGATAGGCTGTCTGGAGCAGCGAGAGGGCACATTCTCGATGCTGCATATAGAAGTCTATTGATTTTCCTGCCTCTCCCTCCCTGTGTCTCCCATCTTTTTTCTCTATTCCTTCTTTCTCTCTCTTCTCTGTCTCTCCCTTACTGGATTTTTTTCTCTCTCGTACCCCGTCTCCCTGACTTTATATCTTTTATTACTGCTCTGGTCATTGTTATGACTCTCTCCGGTATAATGTTTTGATAGCCTCTTGAACGCCAATGTGGTACAACACAAGGCAGTCAATTGCCATCTAACCGTATCTGTCCCCTGTACGATCCTTGGGCTCAGCAGGATACTCGTCAGGATACTGAATTTGCTTTATAACCGTCAAAGAGTCACCTCCCTTAAATCCACCCGCTGCCTGATCTGTCATCCTTCTATCTGCTTCTCGTCTCCAAGTTTCTCTTCTTTCTTTCTTTTCATGGTGTAATTCCACCATATTTTTCCATATCAAGCACTCATACTGAATCTAATCCTGTGCTATTGGCTGCCGCAAATTAAATGAATAGGATTTGTTAAAGAACAGCCTTGAGGGACACTGGGCTCATCGTGGTGTGGGATGAAATGTGAAATGTGAAAACTCTGTGCTGACTGAGCATAGGCTCTTTGCATCCTGTTAACCAAGGGACTAACGAAGCAACCAAAGTGTTGAAAATGAGCTTAAGTATTCTGTGGTGTGAAAGCCTTTTGTGTACATCACTCAGTTTAAAATCCACTGAATTTGCTTTATAACCGTAATGTCAAACTAAACACCTGTCTATATTCCTGGAAAAAATAGTGGTGCCCTTCTCAGCAGGTCAACCCTAAACCCTTTTTATTACAAAAACATCAAAATGTCATCATTGTGCTTCATGGGTAAGGGACGTCTACGTTATTGGTGCCAACAAGGATGACGATGTTGCTAAAGTGGAGTTTTGTGTTCCCTGACTCTTCCTTTGCAAAGCCAGCACCTTCAGTATTATGTGGCTGCCAATGCTAATCTGATTTTTGCGGAGGAGGAAGGACCACCAACAGGACTGCCAACAAGGCCGGCATTAAAAAAACGGTTTGCAGACGGGTGACTGCAGACCATAATCAGTTCCTTATTCTAGGGAGCCTTCCCACGTCGCAGAACAGGGATAAATTCTGCATCATTGGCGGACGAGGTTATTGTAGTGCTATCGCGAACAGGCCTGCTATCAAATCTAGGGGCTAAAGCTATCTGGAGTGCCTGTAACATCTAGAGTAACTATAGCAGAGATAAGATGGTCTAACTTATGGACACGTTCGTCTAGAAGCATTAGGAGATTAAAACAGAATATTGAGGAGGGAGAGGACACGTAAACAGAAGTTATGATTCTAGGAAGTTGAGATGTGCGTTACGAGGTCGTACATCATGTTGAATGTTTAATTTGTTCTCACTGTAGTTTTCAGCATTCAAGAAGTGTTGTCTACACATGTGTAAGCACAGAAGCTCATGATACTCTCCATGGACCAAGTCAAGTGTTGTGCTTCGAAAGGTCATTGAACATTACAGCAAGCGGCGATAGGAAAGGCAAATATTTGCAGTTATGCAAAGTGCTGTTGGTTTTTAAACTGTTAAAGTAAAACACACAGGGACTAAATAATTCAGTAAGGGATTTTCTGTGTAGCAGGCAAAAAGCTCAAGCAAAATATCCGTTATCAGAGTGTTCACTGACATTTTGGGAAATGGAAAGTGTTGATTTATACATGTAAAAGTCAATGAAACAAACAGCTATGTTTGTAAAGCTAATGCACCATCAAAATTTGGGTTTAATATTCTGCAGTGAGCGTGAAAAAGCACAGAAAAAGTGTCTTAAACAGACATTTTTATGGC